GATGCCTGTGCCACCTGTGGCCACCCTTGACCTAGCAAATACCACCTCCTCTCTGGCTTCCTTTTTCTCCCACCTCCTGACATGTTCAGTCAATTATAATCCTCCTTCCCTTGTCTGCTCCCTTGTTCCAGTATTTTAGTTTTTAATGATGCTAAGCCTATTGTGAACACTGTCTCAGGAGGTCTCTGCAGATGCTGAAAGCAAGGAAGGGGAGGAGGGGCAGAGATGAGTTTTGAGAGATACACTCTAATGTCATTCCAATAAATACATTGTCTCGATTAGTTCACAACAGTTTGGACAATAATACACGCTGATCCTGCCAATACATTGCTATTGAACTGGAAAGATTGAGGCGAGGAGTTGAGAGGGGCAGGAGGTCATCCAGCATCACAGCTTCCATGCAGCATTGGAGCCTGGGCCATTAATTCCTTCAATACAGCATCACATGTTAGACAGGGGAACCAGGTACTAAAATGAACCTGTGATCCCTATGGGGACCTTCAGCTGTTATAATGGACCTTGTCACACATTACACTTAGGATGAGTTTTATTTAGACCGTAGTAAACATTACTGTGAGTTAGAAAGTTTCTGAGCAGTCACCCAGTGACACTTACTATGATCTAAATAAAACATGTCCTAAATGCTGCAGTGGTTGAAAACTCCTGTGCTCTGCAAGGTCTGGGACTGACTAACAGCTATTTGTCAGTGCCAGCCCCACAGGTAGTCCCCTGATCATATTACCTCCATGGAGCAGCTGAACATTAGTGCAACATGTGTTAGATAATATCATCTGAGGATACTCCTCACAGGAGAAATCCTAACTAAATGCTACACTACGAGGGCACTTAGCATGTTTTACTGCTTGAATACTTGGACACTAAGGTAAGTGTCCTGTGCCCTTGCAAACCCTGTGCATAGTTTGGTGGGTTCATTAGCACTCTTTGCTTTCAATCCTTTGCTTTTAAGGTTCCTGTGTGTTGAATTGCACTGGCGCAGTTAAGGCTGTGAATCTGAGTTAATCTGGAAGCACCACAGCTGGTGGTGGAGGTGCATCTCAGCGATACTCACCAGTGAACTAGCAGTTTCTAGACATACCTGGAGGTCTTTTTGTCCTTTTAAGTTGGACTGGAGTTTTCTCCAAACTCAAGCATTGGTGTCCCATTGGGATGCACACATGACCATATGTAACATGTCTCAGCCATGAGTGCTTCCAGTAAATGAACCAGAGGCCTTATCATGTAGGTCTTTTTCAGACAGCTCTCATTATATATCCACTCCTTGTAAAAGCTGCTTTTGCTTATGCTGATCAGGCCTGACTGGTTGAGGCAGGGCATGGGTAGCTTAGGGGACTGGTAGCAGGATAGGGAGCTTTTGGCCTTTGTATTGGGAAGAACTAAAAATCTTTCTTTCTGTATATTTTATTATTGTTCAGTGGGTACTGGTGTCACCACTACCTGTGCAAGCTGGATCCCCAACTCCTCCCCACTCCCCTACCTGCACCCCCACCCCAACCTCCCTGTTAGAGGCTCAGCAGAAAGTCAGAGAGTGGAGGAGCTGTAGAGAACGAAGTTCTCTCCCATCTCTTTAGGAAGACCCATCTAGAACAGGGCCTGAGTGTGCTGGTACAAAACATGGGGGACTGTGAATCTTCTTTGTTCAGGGATGTAGGATATACTAGTAGTGCTTGTACAACTCCAGAACAGTTCAGAATGACTGGCTGATTAATTCTCATCATCCTTCTGCAAGGTGACATCCCTGCTATCATTCCTGCTTTACAAAGGCAGTAACTAAGGCACAGAGCAGTCACGATTTGACCAGGATCACTCAGCTGGTCCCAGATCCTGGCTCTCACTACTACAGTACTCTTCCTCTCAAACCTGGGAACTGAGCTCCCTGTCTTTGCAGAATTCCCTGTCCCTCACTGAGAGGCAGTGTGTTCTTAGCTTCTAGTCTCCAGATAATCTTCAGTTTCTTTCTCTAGGATTAAATTAATGTAAATGCAGACTGATGCCAGCAAGTCAGGAGAAGTGAGAAAATCCCAGTTTTCAGGCCAAGGATGCCTTTGCCTCTTTAACATGCTGGCTTTCTCCTCCTGTAGCCCTTCAAGTCCACATTGCTTCTCAGGCAAGTGTCTGCAACTCTAACCACTGTGAGGACTTGGACTCTGCCTGCACTTTGCTGGTGTTCCCTTTTCTAATCCTTTCTCTTTCTTCAGCTCCAGCTCAGGCCCAGATCATCCATGCTGGGCAGGCATGTGTTGTAAAGGAAGATAACATCAGCGAGAGAGTGTATACCATCCGGGAAGGGGACACTCTGGTCCTGCAGTGTCTGGTCACAGGACACCCACGGCCACAGGTAACCTGTCACCCATGCCCCTGTGGTTTTCTGTCAGGATTATTCCTCCATGTCGAGGAGACGCTGTGGGAGGCTTAAGTTAGGGATACAAATTTCCCCAACACCTTCACTCTCCTGCTGATTCCCCACCACCTTCACTCTCCTCTCTTTTTCTCTCCTGGCTTCCCAAGCACTGTCTGCAGCACTGGAGCAGCTGCACCATGAAGAAAAAAAGGGCTTAAGCAGCAGAGGTGCTGGACCTGGCTGTGAGCAATCCCTGGAGCTGAAGTTGGCTGAGTGTGTACATCACCCCTAGTGGTTACAGCCAACAAAGGGGATAGAAGGCCTAGTAAGGCATAGCAAGTGGAGATTCCCCTATAGATCACCTGACAGTGGCCTTTATTTCTGGAGCAGAAGGTTTTGAGGGGGTAATGCTGGCTGTTTGCTGTCCACTAATATCTCAAGGGTCTCCCCAGAGCTTCTGGCATTGTTCAGTAGATAGAGACCCAAAAGGCAGGTAGAACAGACTGAACTAAAAACTCCATTTATTTCCGTGCAGTGTAGATAACCCTGTAGACTTTAATCCTCTCTCCTCAGAATAGTAAAGCTTGGATAAGGATAGTGCAAGCTTCTCCTCTGCCCTTCACCATCAGAGAAGAAGAGCAGATGTGGGTGCTTGCCTATGGTGAACATCCCTGAGACCCACCAGCTTGTTTTGTACAGTAGCCAGCAAACAGGTGTCAGAATGGCAGTTTTTTTATTGGTGGTGATTTGGGTTGGATTCAGACCCATGACACATATACATCTGCACTTCAGGCTAAGGCTAGACTGCAGCTGCTGTGAATGAGCTTTAAACTTGCTAGCCTGGATGCTGGCTGTGTACCTGAGATAGCATGCAGCTGAGGTGGGGGAGCTTCTGGATGGTTTGCCTAGGGTCCCTGAAAGCTTTGCAGCTCATGCTGAAACCCATATTGCTGCAGCTACACTGTTAACCAAGCTAGCTCATTTCAACCCAGCTCAGATCTGTCTCCATGAGTGTCAGTCACACGTCTGGACTGGACCTCTAGAGGTGAGAGTGCTGTAAGGAGATGCTGACTTAGTGGCTGGCGTGCATCAATAAGCCCCAGAGCACTGCTGATATTGTGACTCAAACCAGGCCTTGGGTGCCAAAATAAACCTTCAGGAGCCTGTTATGCTGTGAATAAGCTTCCCCAGGAGAAGGACAAGAACAACTATGAGAAGTTCATCATTTCCCCCTACATCCTTCTCAGCCTTTCAGCAGCTATGCCAGCTGTAGGCACTTGTTCAGATAAGCTATTGTTCAGTGTATGCCAATCACCCCTTCCCCAGATGAACTCACAAGGGCTACTTGGCTCCTAAGAAAGGACAAAGGGAAGAGAGCAGCTCAGGCAGAACAATCTGAAACAGATTATACATCAACATTTATCCTACAGTTGAAATAAGGAGACAATCTGAGCCAGGAGTTTGAGGAACCAAGACACTTAACAGAGCTCCGTGGGCCACTGCAGAACACTGTGGGGGATTGCCTGGTCCACACACATGGGTATCCTGATCACAAACAGGTCACAGGCATGCAGAAAAGAAGCAGGGGAATGCTTATGCCCAGGTGCCTAGGTACACACCATGTGGTGGAACACATGCTACTCATGGGCACTTTGGACCTGGGAGAATGGCAGAGTATTGCTCTTTTGGGGGCACACAAATACTAGCGGTGCATGCAAAACCATGGCACAGGTAGAGCCTCTGTGCTGGTGTGTAACACCAGCCCAAGGATGCACATGGGGCACTGCATTGTGTGCCCACGGAGGCCAGGCACATGGAACCCCAGGTGATGTGTAGCAGGACACAGATCCATCTCTACTTCTCCCCAGTCTCCCTGTTCTTACCATCTCTTCTCCCTTTCTTCTTGTGCTTTGTCTCTCTCCCCTCCCTCTCCCTTGTATGCCCTCTCTCCCCCCCCGCCCCCCCATTGCTCCAAATCAAAGCACTTCTCTTAACCTTTGTTTAATCTTTTCCCTTCCCCTCTTCCAGTTACTCATTAAAGCTTTAAAATGTGGCCAAAATATTTAAATGAGGTTGCAGTGAAAAGGCTGGGGAAAGATTAAAGAGCTAACTGAAGAGTTCTTGCCAGCAAGAGACTCTGAGAGACTTTGGGGCCCCAAAACAATTTCATAATATACCTACCGAGGCTAAATAAATCCATCACAGGGTGGCCATTAGCAGAGAAAATCAGCACAGTATGGAGCACTTAGAACTGGAATAAGCTGTACAGCTCTGTCCTCTCTAGAGCAACTGGCTCCAACCCAGTGACATGTCATTTGATGTAAAGGTCTGGCGTGGGCCACTCAATGTCCACCCTGCTGGGACATTAGCTCTTCCTAGCCTGAGGTCTAGCTTGAGGACGTTAGTGAATGAAGGTTCTCTTGCTTCCCTCCAGTTGTTCAGTGATAACAAGTCACTGATTCTCAGTCCAGCCTCTAGCAGGGCAGATGTCCACATTGGAGGAAGCTACCATCTGCTATTCCATACAGAGGTTGCCAAAAAGCAGATCAAGAAAACACAGAACAAATGAGCTGTGGTGTCTGCCCTTTCTTCCTGCTGGGACATGGGAAGCTTGCACTACTGCCAGCACTGTACCTTGTTATGGGCATAAGAAGAGGACTCGAGTCTATGGGGCACTTCTGTCCTGTCCCATGATTTACTGTGAAACAACATAAGAATCTGCACAGATCCCCCAAGCTGGGATTTTTCAGACTAATCATGTAAAATAAGGGGAAACGTGCAAAACAGTCTGCAATCTGAAGGGCTCTTTTTCTTCTTTGTTAATGCCTGTGCTACAAAAGGCTGGTTTACAAAAGTAGCAGACAGTGGGGGCTCCTCCAGAGAGAGGGGGACAACAGGCTAGCAGCAGCAGCAGCTGTGCCTCTTACTTCGGAAGACAGATTAAATATCCCATTGCCCAGAGAGAGATGAAAAGGCACTGACTGAAGGATGGTAAAAGCTTTGCAACCAAGTGCTTGCTGCCCATGCAGCCACACAGCTGCCTGCCCACATACACTCCCCTTGCACCCTCCAAGGACCCACACTGAAAGCCCCGTCTGTGCCTGCATTGAGCCAAATGGGTTTGGAGGAGGGTTTTACCTTAGTTAATTAAACAGAGCAGAGGGAGTGGGTAACTCCAAAACATGTTTGAGCTAGTGCGAATTTAGAGCAGAGATTGGGGAAAACACAGCAGGATGGAGAGAGTTGTTGCATTTGGTAAATAGGTGTGTAGGGGTCACCAGAGGGCCTGATGTACTGGAGTTAGTAATGGGCAGATGCAGCCGTCCAGCAGGGATTTATTAAGACTACTAAACTTGCATTGGATGCAGTGCATATTGCTGTGCCTCCATGTGGGGGAGGGAGGAGAGTGCCACCTTCTCAGGTGAGGGTCAAAAAGGTGAGCGCTGCTGTGATGAGATCTCAGGCCTGTACTCACAGCTTTGAGGTAGTTTGTGTACCCGATAGCTCTGTTTCTCTCTCCTGCTTATTCCCTTGCTGCAGGTGAGGTGGACCAAAACTGCTGGCAGTGCCTCGGACAAATTCCAGGAGACGTCGGTGTTTAACGAGACCCTTCGGATTGAGAAGATCCAAAGGCTCCAGGGGGGCCGCTATTACTGTAAAGCAGAAAATGGGGTTGGGGTCCCTGCCATCAAGTCCATTCGAGTAGATGTGCAGTGTAAGTCATTTAGTGGCGGCCCAGAGCTTCCCACAGTTCTACTGTGCTTATCTAACTGCTGGGCTGGCAGGGCTCTACATTAGCCTGGAACCATGCTCACCCACTCAGGTGCAAAGAGGCCAGCATATCAGATACAGAATTCACCTCCCCTGGGGTTTTAGACCCTTCTTAGGGAAAGGTAGTTTTTTCTGTTTAAGCCATTCTCAGGGAATGGGCCCTAACACCCATCACCAGGAAGTCCTGGCAGTTGTCTGGGGTGCAGTGCTGCAAATGGCTTCGCTTGCCTTCCCTTGGTCTCCTTTCTGAAGCCAACCTACTTTGCCCCTCCAAAGTGGACCCACTGCAACTCTCTGGTATGCCCCAGGAACTAGTGCATTGATGCCAGTCATGCCTCCTCTGAAGCACCATGGGAGTAGAGCACAGGATTCTGGGATGCATCTGAGAAGGCCAAGTAGTGAACGGGTAAAGGTGAGCGGACCTGAGGATCCCTCAGTTGAAGCAACAAAATAAGACACCTGTATTAAAATTACTCTGGCCTCGTGCTGCTCTGTCTGGGTCTCTCACACCTTGGAGCTTCCACTGGTATACTGTTCATCTTACCATGGACTCCAAAGTCTAAGGGCTTTCCATGTGGGAGTAATGCTTCTTTGTAAAGGTGCCGTGGCTGGAATTGAGGTTGGGATTATTTTTGTCCAGCACCTGCCTGTGGGATAGAAGAAGTGCCTAGCCCTCAGCACAGTTTTGAAGGAGACGCATTAGGCAGGCAATAGAACTGCACAGACTCCAGGCCCACTGCTGCCTTGTCCATTCATTGCCCATCGCTGCCAACCGATGTGGTCCCCTTCCAGTCCTGGAGGCACCAAACTTGAGTCTTGGCTGACCTGGGTTCCGAAGGCCTAGCTAATAAAGGGTTTAAATGAAAGATGTGCCAGAACTTCTCAGGGGTGTGAGCATCCCCAGGCCTAGGGAAATTCAGGATACAGAGCTGTAGTTTATTACCAACTTTAAGCCTAGTATGCCTGCTGCATTCTGCTCTGGTAATAGTTTCTATCTTCCTTCCTCACTTTGCCCCATTGCTTTACTTAATTAGGGTTAGGGTTGGGTATTTGACTAGTCAAATAAAGTTTGGTCAATTGACCGGTCAAATATGTGTCAAAAATTGTAAAAAAATTGCCAATAGGTCCAAATAATACACAGAAAAAGCATGAATTTTCCATTAAGAAATGTGTCAAAAAACAATAAATCCTATTTCTGTTAAGAAAACTACAAAAAAATAGTTTCTTGGTAAAAATTCTATAATTTTTGACAAGTCAAAAAGTATGCAGTCGGTTGACCAACCCTAAGTAGGGTAGAGTCAGGTGAGTACCTCGCTATTGGGAAGCTTTGAGGACACATTTTTCTTTCTGCAGCTCATGCCAGACTGACACCTTTGCTCTGAGGCTCCACAAACTCACCTATGAATGCGTGGCTTGTCCTCCTTCCCCATCTCATGCCTATAATTCTGGCATATAATTGTCATCCCCTTCTCCACCACTCCCAAACATCCCAGCCATGTGTACAAGTTTTCTTGTACACCAGGTACACCAAGTGTACTCAGTTTTCTTGGCCTTTGACCTAGCACCTTGCCAGGGCTCTTTGTCTTCAGGCAGGGGGCTAGTGGGAGAATCTCTCTTGATCTGAATCTCTTTCTATGTTGTGGGAGGTCCCTTTACTTCTGTGGTGCAGTGTAGTATGAAGGTGATGTAGAGTCCTGCAGTTCCTCCTGCAGCTCTGACCTGTAGAACTGTGGGACCAATGGGATGGCCAAAGGCTTTCTGATACTAACATCTACTCTGCAGATGGACTTGGTAATACACCTCCTTCCTATTTGCTTGTATTCTGGGAGAAGAGTCTGCTTTCTACCAGCATCTCTCTGTACATGGGAGCAGAGAGGAAAGGCTTAGGGCAGTTTGTTGAAAGTTCACCAGACAGCTTTTATCTGGATGATCCAGCAACTGAAACCAAACCCTTCTCTTTCTTCCCCTAAAACATGCTTGGAGGTAAGTAGTCACCAAGTAGTCACCTGCAGAACGGTGTAATGAAGATTGTGTGGGGAGCTCTATTAGGTACAGGGCATGTGCTTGGGGTTCCAAGGAGTCTACAGTAACCTGCAGCGAGGGACTTTTGCTGGGGTGAGCCTTAGGTCAGAGTAAAGGTGGGTGGAGTTTGTTTGTTGAGTCAAGGTCAAGTAAACCTTGGGGACAGCAAAATATAAATACTTAATAGTTCAAATGCATCCCTGATGTTACTCCCCTGAAGTCAAGGATTTGCATCAGAGAAACAGGTGAATCTGTGCCTGTCATACTTAGTTTGTTCCCAGCCTGGTCCTGAGGACAATTTCCCTCTGGGAGAAGGAAGCTTTGAAGTGGTGCAGAGACTGATTACCTGAAGAGGCTGAGTCAGATTGGAGGTTGGCATGTGCCTGTCCAGATCCCTGTTTTTAGAGCTCCCTGTCCTTTGATGTTAATTGAAATAAACTTTCCCTCAGGGAGAAAGAAAGGCAGTGGGCAGTTGAATTTCAGCTGTGGCCAGTCAACCAGCTAGGTGGGCAGAAAGCATAGGTGGCAGAAGGCTGGAGCTAATGGGGCTTAGACCCCCCAACTTTTTGTGGTGGCTGGCAACAGCAGCAGCACTACAGCACTACCATCCCGCAGTGCCTGGTGCCGCTCAGCATGCAGCCACTCTTCCACTACCGCGCACAGCACCAGCCCATGCCGGCAGCCCTGCAATGGCCCTGTGGGAGGGAGGGGCAGGGGGTCAGGCGGGGCTCAGGCAGGACCCCCAAATAATATTTTCCCCCACCGCTTATGGGCAGAAGAATTTAGGAAGCTGAAGTCACCAGTACAGAGTTCCTATGTCTGGCCCAGCTAGGTTGGGATGCTGCTATTTGGATATGCTGAAGGAAGGGAATGGGAAGACAGGAAAAAGGATGGGGACATTTTAAAGACAAGTTGTCATTGAAACATCCCATATAGTTGGCTCAATAAGCCTAATCCATTCCTCATGCAATTCCGTTAACTTCATTGGCGTTACTGTATACCAGGGATACATATGTATTCTTGGGCCTTATTTCAGCTCTTCTCAGGAGATTTAAATTAAAGACTGACAGCTATGGCAAGAGGAACCTGTGAGAAAAAGTCTAGGATTAAGAATCGGGAAGATGGCATTCTGCACTCCCCTAGGGAGACCCTGGATGAAGAGGAACTGGGATTTCTGGGGAGCCTTGGACATTGGAGGAACTAGTCCTACTGTAATACTCGTTTGGCGTTCATCTGACAAAGCAATGATAGACTCAGAGTATTGGTAGTTGTAGGCCCCATCTTCTAACGTGTTGGGGAATAAAGGCAGTAACCAAAACGAGGAGGGAGGGTTGATAGAGCTCTGTCCAGGGTCCCAGGTGAAGGGGAAGGTTAAAGCAAAATTCAGCCAGACTTCCATGACTGAATGGAAATAATCTTTATAAAGAAGGCTAGTTTCTCTCTGTTTCTCTGCTGTCTTTCTCCTTACGTCAGATCAATGTTCATCTAACGGCTTGGCTCATATCTGTAAGCCATGGCATGGTCAAGCTAACAAATCTCAGCTCCCATTATAAATACTGTCTTCCAAATATACACCTTGTTAAAATATGCAAATGGACTGGTCTGTGCATACATCTCAGTGGGGAGAGTGTGCTGCTCAGATGATGCATTAACAGCAACTCATCTCTTTTTCTGTGGCCAGATTTCCAAATTTGCAAACATCTAAGCCAATATTTTAAAATCAAGTGACATGTAAGAACAGGAGGTGATGGGAACACATCCTCTCCCTTAATGGGCTCAGGGGATGGCAGAGATGGCATGAGTAATGCAGGCAATTAGCTTCAGTTTTAGTGATAGTTACCTCAGCTATTCACAGTTAAATTGGGGCCTGTTTATGATTCCTGTGACACTGAAGGGTATCCAGAGTCACTCTGCAGTGGCCACCTTCCTCTCAAAAGGTGCACATCAAAGGGGAGGGGGCATCTGGACATGGGACATAAACATACATCTAATCCCAGTAGTGATCCTGTTTGATATTCCCTCCTTGGTGTTCCCCGGCTTTTGGGAACCCATTTGTATGAAGGGGCTCCATCCTCCCTGCCAGCTCCCATGCTAGACTTTCACTTGTTCAGCTCTCGAAACATGGAATACTATAGAAGAGGAGCACAGTTTGAGAAGCCCCTTTTCTAACAGGGAGGCTGCAGCTGGGGAATCCTATGCCATGTGCCTGCTGCTGCCAGCCTGAGATGGGGAGTTTACCAAGTGGCTGTACCTGCAGGACTCTTCCTTGTGGCTTAAATGTTTAAATAATGTTTCCTTGTGGCTTAAATGCTAATCACATTGGTGAGTGAGTCAGGACTAGCAAGCTTCTGGTTCAGGGCAGGTAAGAAAAGGAGACTGGGGGGACAGCTTCCTTAGGGAGGGTAGAGACAAAGAGATAAGCTAATGGATAGAGCAAGGATATTTAATGTGAATTTTTAATGGGAAAGCAAGAGATGGGGAGAGGAGAGAGGGTTGGCTCACTTTTAAATAGGAAGAAGGGATTAGGGATACATTTAAATAGGAAGAGAGGCAGGGAGGAGGAGAAGGAAGAGAGAGGCGGGATCCATGTTATGCATCTCATGCTCCCATGGTGGATACCCCACCAGACACTTTTTGCCCCTGAGGTGAGTCTCCAGCTCAGTCTGCTGCTGCTGTTACCATTCTGATTTTCTCTCCTGCATTAAGGTTTGTTTTATATTTATTTCCACTGTCTGGTCATTTCAAAGTAAAGGACTTAGCTCCAAGTTCCCATGGGGAATCTTTCAGGATTTGGGGAACAAATGTCACTGAGGTAAAAGGTGGGAGCAGAGGGGGACAAGGGTGTGGGGAAGGATTTTCTGGGTGTGGGAGTCCCTTTGGCCTGTTGACTGGGATGGAGAAGTGAGGCTCAGGGGTAAGTGAGCCAGCCTGGCCTTAAGTAGGTGCACTAGACAGTTGGCTCATCTTAGTGCTGTCTGAGGTCTGCAAATCAGGGCTTATTTCCTTTTCCTGGAGAATATTGATTTCTCCCATCAGTTTCCTTAAAATCTCAAGTAAAGTGGGCTTTTAACCTAATTGTTATGTAATTGTTCTCATTGGCTGCCTGATTCAGGGGCTCCCCACCTTGTCTCTCCCGATCAGTGTCACTGTCTGCCTGGCTGTGAGTGCCTGGCCTGACATTTTGGTAATGGCCACCTTGGGCTTGTCCTCCCTGCCTTCCAGATCTAGATGAGCCTGTTCTCACCATCCACCAAACCATCAGCGATGTGCGTGGCAGCTTCTACCAGGAGAAGACAGTTTTCCTCCGATGCACAGTCAACTCCAACCCACCAGCTCGCTTCATCTGGAAACGGGGAGCTGAGACACTCTCCCACAGCCAGGACAATGGGGTGGACATCTATGAGCCTCTCTACACGCAGGTAAGAAATACCACCCACGAGCAGATCTTGCTGTCAGCATGCATTGGCACATCACCCACTGGGGCCTGGACATGACCAGGGCTCAATATCTGGGGAGGATTCAGGAAGGCAATGCTGGGAAGGGGGAAGTGGGTCTCCCCTCACAATATGTTACCTATGGTGGGAAAGATGTGCATCAGAAGGAGCCTTCCTAGATACTGATAGTGAAGGCCAAGGATGAAACATCAGGGAAGAGAGCCCAGAGTTCCTTGCCCCACCATGAGAATAGTGCCTGTGACTTTCAGGCTCTCTTGGAGATGGAGCCAGTTTAAGAAATTCCAGACAGGTTTGGTCATGTTTCTCACAGAGGGACATGGAGTTCAGTCCACAGGCCTCCATCACTTTCCTTTGTCTTCCTCTCTCTCCAGGCCTGATCATGCTTGCATTATTTCTGTGCTCCTCAGTGCTGTTCATAGACAGTAGATTATTCATTGAACTTTTAGCCCTTATTCCTTTTTAGAAATTGCTTATGAGCAGGCCAAGATTTTCAAGGCCATGTCAGTTAGTTATTCATTTTGCTGGATGAAGAGTTTGTGCACACTACTTTGAAATGCTGAGATTATTCTCTAAGTCTGTCATGTAATGGAGGCTATGTGGTTAAGGTGCTTTGCTATAGTTCAACAAGTGTTGACCCTTGCTACAGGCTGGCACCAAAGGCAACCCCTAGTTGACTTGGATGTAAATGGATACTACATCATTTGGCCTTGAGAGTTGACGGTGGCTAAGCTGTGATGCTAGCCACATCGCTCCCAAGTGTGCTGCTGGGTGCAGAAACTGGTGTGCCATAACCATGGTAATTCATGGGCCACTGGACTTGGGAAGAACTGGTTGTCTTTGCCCCATGGTGTCATTCTGCTCTCTGATTGAGAGCTCCAAGCTGCAGAAATAGAGAAGAATATTTCCTGTTTGAAAATTTGCAAAGATTCTGGTGGACTTGGTTGTGCTAAAAATGAAGAGCTTTTCAGAGTGGGAAGCAGTAGCACATGCAGTTCAAACACACATGTAGTCTTCCTCCCCTTCTCCTCTTCCTAGCATGTAGGGCAAAACTCTAGATTTTTCTATCTCCATGTTACCCCTTGAATCCTAATATGTTTCTTGTCAGTGACTGCAACCCAAGAGTGAGATGGGGAGGTTGCAGGCAATCTGCTTTTTGCTGTGGAAATCAAACCTGAAGTTCTGCTGTGTGTCACAGAGCACTTTGGTGTGCTACTCCTATAAAGAGGGGAGGTGGGTAGCAGGGCACTGAGATGCCTGCTACTTATGGAGCAGTAAGTAAGGAGCCCAGCTGCGCATTGCTAGGGCAACCGCTATGGGTCAGCTGACAGGAAGGGGCAGGGCCTGGCTCCTAGATAACTCCCAGGCTGAGGCCAGGCAGGCAGTTCCCTGCTAGCAGCCTTAGAGGAAGGAGCTCTGCCAGACTGAACAAAGAGGAGAGGCTAGACTGCCGGTATAGCTTTGAGACTGGGGGAAGGATAGAGCACCCTGGATGCGGTAGGACTAATGTTATAGCCAAGCAGCTTGAATTTATGTTGTAGCCAAGAGGCTTGAGTTTCTGTTT